CAACGGTTCCGACGATTAACTCATTAACTTCAATATTCCAACACCGAACCTTCTCTATGATACCTTCCGGATGTTTATAATAATTCTTAGAGAGTTTATGGTGAGTGTTTGGAATGAAACAATATGAATTTCGTGAAACAAATGGTCCAACCCGAGGAGCTCGCCACCACTGGCGCAGTCCCGGTATTTTGGCCATATCATCTTCATTACTTAACGAAATTGCAAGCCATTTGTTGGGATGGATTCGTATCGTCCGGGGCTACAACTTTGGTTCAGAAAGTATTTCGAGATAATGGATGGAAAATTTCAGATTTTACCTAGAAGTGGGCTGCTGTGTTTGGTTTCAGGATTTTGGACACTTGAATGGTTTCCTTGCTTCTTCTTCTTCTTCCTTAGCACAAAAATGGAGTATTGCTGCCGTGTTTTCTCCTCCTTTGATTTCCGACAGAGAGAGAGTGTGGTGAGGAGGAGAAATGATGGAAGGATGATGGTGATGATTTTTGATGATGATTATGGTGGTGGTGGATGTTGAGGATGGTGATATAAAGAACGGAGTAGGGTAGGTTGGTGGAGGCTAGTGGAGAAAATGGGGAAGCTACGGAGATTCTAGGAGATTTGAGAATTAAGTTTTGGATTTTAGCCAAAACTGAACAGTTTACTCTAAACGGTACACACTTTTTCACCCAAACTGTTCCAAATGGAAAATGGATTGCGTTTTTGGAATCAGTCTGTCAAAACTAGAATTTTGACATAATTAAAATATTTTTCTGGGAACTTTTATTTTTCTTAGTGTTCGGGTCTGTCTCAATTATAAACTAATATAATAATATGAATGATATAAAAATATATGAATTAAATCTAAATGATTAATATGATGTTGTCAAGTGTCAAAAATTAAGATTTCTAATCTTATGAAATCACTTTTGAATTGAGTTTATTTTATGGGTCAAGGTTACAAATTTTAATATTTAAAATTGTCATAGCTTAAAATCTATAAATCAGATTGGTTCATAGAATGTACCGTTGAATTCCTCTNTAGAATTTTGACATAATTAAAATATTTTTCTGGGAACTTTTATTTTTCTTAGTGTTCGGGTCTGTCTCAATTATAAACTAATATAATAATATGAATGATATAAAAATATATGAATTAAATCTAAATGATTAATATGATGTTGTCAAGTGTCAAAAATTAAGATTTCTAATCTTATGAAATCACTTTTGAATTGAGTTTATTTTATGGGTCAAGGTTACAAATTTTAATATTTAAAATTGTCATAGCTTAAAATCTATAAATCAGATTGGTTCATAGAATGTACCGTTGAATTCCTCTCTTCAAGACATATCCATAAAAATAAGTTTTTTTACAAAAAGTCATATTTTTGAAAATCCATTTATTTTTTGGTCAAACATATTAATATTACTTATTGGACCAAAAACTACTTTTGTTTTATAATAAATTTTAGGTTATATTTTGTGGCATTACATTTCTTCCCTCCTAAAAGAAATTTCGTCCCCAAAATTTATTTAGGTGAAGTCATTTGAAATGATGATGTACAAAATCATGAATATTCATTGTTTTTGTAAAAACACTAATTTCAATAAGTTGTTTTCGCTTTGTTTTGTTGAGTGTCATGATTATGACATGTTCTCTAACGAGAAAAGATATATGCGGATGATAGATGTAACGTGTTTGGATTTCTTTCATGGAGACTTGCATTGAATATACTCTTAGACTTGCTCTTGGCGTGTTGTAGGAGTTTTCAGGAATTCTTGTACGAGTTGTGTTTTGTGAATGTGGGGTAATATACAAAATTTCTTTTTTTTTCAATTCTTTTAGAATCATTCTCAGACGACTTTGTCTGAAATGTTGGTTTCACAAATTACGCTTTGTTGTTTACAGGTTGGAACAGATTGTTTCGAAGTTTGACGTTTTTACATAACGGTATTTTGGGAAATGACTATTACCATAGTCATCTTTTTAGGTTTCTTAGATGGATACGTAATTATAGTTTCAAAACATAAACTCTCAATCCTTAATGGAGTTGTTTTGACTAACGTAATGTCAAGAATCTGATTTCACATGGCTTATGCATGCCTATAACCGCAAACATGCATATCACACTTATGTAAAACAATAGTATATGATTTTATCACATCGTAATGATTGGATGAATGTTTTGATAACACTTTCTATTTTGTCACTGTTTGCCTTATCAAGATGATATGTTATCATTCTTGATTTTCTGATAGATGATTCCAGAATTGCTTGGAATTTCAGACTTTCTCAATAATTATGATAGAGCTTCGTGCTCGAAAATTATAATGTTAGTGTATTCGTCATATCACTAATATTCTTATTTCACATAATAGTTGCATTACTTATTGCCAAAAACATGATAAGTTATACACATAGTCATATTCTAATATGTCTGGGTTTCAACTGACACATGCGTGATTTCTCTTGATGGTCCGCCCAATTGACTTGGGTAGGGATCACATTCACCTTTAGTGTGGTCGTATTCACCACACAAGTGACAACTTTTCCTCTCTAGTTATTTCACATATATTCCTTTGTTAGGGTCAAAGCAGAGTTGCTTGATCATCATTGATAATAATTTTCATCGATAACGTAATCGCATCAACCGTTTAGTAGTTCACAGAGTGTGGGTTTTTTGAAGATTGGCATCATAAAACATCTTTTTGGGTTTGATGGAGAATCATGAGTTACAACAAGTTCTTAATGATTTGATACAGAAAATGGAATTTAATATTTTCAAGATTGATCAAGTGAGATGTTTCAAGTGTGTAATTAACACAGCAAGTTTTAGTATTTCAAGGATGCGAGTCACAAGATACAGAGATAACATTTGCGAATTATCACTCAATGTTTCGCCCTTTGGAAATTACTCAAAGAGTCATTATCTTAGGGAAGTAGTCATTTTGACTTTTCGTCTCGGATTTGAATGTATTTCAGGACAACGAGCCTAACTATTCATGAGTCTCAATATGTCATGTTGTCAGCAGACTGTAGTATTGGCGAGTACATTCTTGTCTAGAGCGAATCCACTTTCCTGTACATTTTTAGGCTGGTGATAATTACTTTTCCATCAATGGTCCAGTTTCAGAGTCTATATATATCAAATTGTGGCAAGAGCGTCTCACATTCTCACATTATGGAAGGAACTTCTCGAGCTCTTCTTAATACCATAAGATTCGTTGGTCTACTTGGTAGTCATGCTCTTGGTAGCAATCCAAGGTTCATGGCTACAGCAGTTGATCTAGGACGTGAATTGGTAAGGCGAAAAATCAGGCTTACCTACCGAGGAGGCAACGTTGGCCTTCAAGGAGTTGTAGCTTCAACAGTCTATAATAATGGTGGTAGAGTCAGAGGTTTCATACCAGGGTATATAGCAACACGACAGGTTTACGGATCTACGTACGGTGTAGAGTACACCGTCTCCAGCAATTACTATAAGTATTTCGAGATGAATCATATTGTGGAAGCCTTCATTGTACTTCCTGGAGGGATTGACACTATGGAAGGTTTATTCACTTTGATCTCATGGGCATCCGAAGGGTTACACAGTAAACCCATTGGTCTTTTGAACATTGACAGTTATTTCAATAACCTAATCAAGTTTCTCAGAGGAAACTTTTCATTTCTTCTTTCTTTGTTGATGAGCTATTGGACAAGCTAGAGTTTGCTAGGGCTTTCCTGGGTCCTGGTGCTAGTTATGATGATTTTGCAAATCCTGGAAGATTAGACTTAGATTGCATCTGTAATATAATATTGTCCATGTACATTATGCGTTAGTCATAAATATCGTTCTAAGCTGCATGACCAGTGCATTTTAGAAGAGTATTTTATTTCCAACATCAATATGTACCATGTAAATATTAATCCCTTTTTTTATCTTCCAGTCTATCACTGTTGGTGTGACTGTTTCAGATCTTGTTTTGTGCTGTCATCTTGCTGTGACTTTTCGCGCCAGTAGGGTATATAACGAGTCAATTATCTTAATGTTTGTATGTAGATTCATCCCTATAATGTGTTTCAGATTCGATACATATGTCGTATTCGATCCTGTTTGTGAGGCTCTATTCGTGTTCGGTAGATTCACTTTTGGGGAATTTATTCACTTTCTATCGAAGAAAGTTCTCTCTTCAACGTATTCTTAAGATTGAGAGAATTTGATTCACATCGTTCACTTAGCCATTTGCGTACTATGACATACGTATATGTCGCGCTTATCGGGTTTACAGTCCCTCTTCTTAATTCTAAATCTTTTGATGTCGACTGTGATCGTCGAAGAACATTCTAAGGTAATCTAAACTTTATTGCAAACGAGCCTATGAGGATACTAGCAACTCAAAGGAAACAAATTTTCAATGAGTTAAGTATGTGTGTTATGCCATAATAACTTACTTGTTGATTACCTTCCCGGGGCAGAGATGTCGTGGAGGATGCGTATGCAGGACTTTGAAAATATTGGCTCAATGATCCGAAAATCATTTTACTCCGATACAAAAATGTAACACCCTAATTCGTATAACCCGGAATTACACGTATTAAGGTGAAACCGGAGTTAAATAAAAATATTGTTTGACATTTGAAAATGACAATTACTTATAAATGTTAAATTTACAGACTCTGGATCGCGACCCAATTAAAATACTTTCGGAGTAATGCGGAAGTACAATAATAATCAAATTATGACACATTTAAAATCTTGATGATCAAACATTTGCCTGCCATCCTTGCATCTCATCTGACTCAATGCCCTCCAGGAGTGGTTCCATCATTATCTTCTTGTTACCTACATGTAGTCAACGAAAAATACAAACTACACGCTTAGCGAAACCACTGAGTGGTACCACGCTCGAATTGTAGAATAATTCACAGACATATACATATACATATATATATGTCCAAAAAAATGTATAACAATATTCATTATATGGCATATTATATACTATGATCAAGTTGACGATTTATGATGATGGATATTTAATGATGATTACCTGATGGCATATTTAATCAATATAATTATTCTTGATGATGATTACATGACACCTATGTAATCAATATAATTGTTCTTGATGATGATTACATGACACCTATGTAATCAATATAATTGTACTTGATGATGATAACATGATGCATGAACCTAAACGTGCAAGGACGACCCTTGCGCTATGAGATTCGCCTAGGTTGTACGACGAACTCACGCCACCTTAGTCTCACGAATGAGGTGAGACTACAAAATCGGGGTGGTACTCGAAAGCCTGAATACCATGTACGTACACTAAACCCGAACGTGTGATGTCGGACTGCTTAGTCCCGCACAATCACGCTATAAGAGACACACGAGGCATGATATGTTACGCATGCATATGATGTGATATGCTTCAATATGGATGGTGAAATGAATCATATGTTATGAACAATTTGTAAACAACATGAATATGTAATCATACATTAACTTATTTGGGTGAGACATGATTAAAATATCATTTAAATAAGCTACGGGGCTCGGAATAGTCGACCGTTTAGCACGGAGGTCGACTGTGCTATATTTCAACTCGTCGGATTTCTGGATCACCGTGACGGTCGACCGCGGTTGACCGGTGGTCGACCGTTGTTGACTGGCTAGAAGTGACGGCCCTCGGCTGGATAGGCGGTGGTCGACCGTTCGTCGTCGGTGGTCGACCGTTCTGCTGACAGTCGTGGTCCGTTTCGAAGTTTTAACACGACGGTCGATCGTTTGCGTCGACCGTTTGGGTCTGCGAATCTTACTCTTAATATTTTGGGTGTCTAAAGTACTTCTTAAAGTCTTTTAAACACCTTTGTTTAACATATACATGTTGTTGGGTAGATTTCCAATGTTTATACTTACTTAAGTGTACATTAACTTTATGGATTTGGTGTATTCTGACTTCAACACATAACTTATATATGTATCACATATATATTTTGGTGTGATTTTAATATATTTATTAATATATATGTTCATGTACGTATTAGATGAATGATTCAACAAGTCTAACGTAAGGGTACAGACCTTGAAATCTTCGGCCGAAACCTTACGGATGAGCGGGAGTGGAAGCAACATCGAAATTCACCAACTTTGTCATTCTCGTCACAATTGGACAGCCTGCCGTATTTTGGGCATATCTCCATCGTTTCTTCACGGAATCGCAAACCGTTTGATTCTGTGGATTCCTAAGATGTAAGGCTATAACTTTTCTATAGAAAGTATTTCGAGTTAACAGATGTAAGATAGCGTAAATCGGACTTGAAGTCAAGGGAAAGTTGCTGTCCAGAATTTTTGGATACTCTGGTGAACAACGGTTCCGACGATTAACTCATTAACTTCAATATTCCAACACCGAACCTTCTCTATGATACCTTCCGGATGTTTATAATAATTCTTAGAGAGTTTATGGTGAGTGTTTGGAATGAAACAATATGAATTTCGTGAAACAAATGGTCCAACCCGAGGAGCTCGCCACCACTGGCGCAGTCCCGGTATTTTGGCCATATCATCTTCATTACTTAACGAAANGGCTACAACTTTGGTTCAGAAAGTATTTCGAGATAATGGATGGAAAATTTCAGATTTTACCTAGAAGTGGGCTGCTGTGTTTGGTTTCAGGATTTTGGACACTTGAATGGTTTCCTTGCTTCTTCTTCTTCTTCCTTAGCACAAAAATGGAGTATTGCTGCCGTGTTTTCTCCTCCTTTGATTTCCGACAGAGAGAGAGTGTGGTGAGGAGGAGAAATGATGGAAGGATGATGGTGATGATTTTTGATGATGATTATGGTGGTGGTGGATGTTGAGGATGGTGATATAAAGAACGGAGTAGGGTAGGTTGGTGGAGGCTAGTGGAGAAAATGGGGAAGCTACGGAGATTCTAGGAGATTTGAGAATTAAGTTTTGGATTTTAGCCAAAACTGAACAGTTTACTCTAAACGGTACACACTTTTTCACCCAAACTGTTCCAAATGGAAAATGGATTGCGTTTTTGGAATCAGTCTGTCAAAACTAGAATTTTGACATAATTAAAATATTTTTCTGGGAACTTTTATTTTTCTTAGTGTTCGGGTCTGTCTCAATTATAAACTAATATAATAATATGAATGATATAAAAATATATGAATTAAATCTAAATGATTAATATGATGTTGTCAAGTGTCAAAAATTAAGATTTCTAATCTTATGAAATCACTTTTGAATTGAGTTTATTTTATGGGTCAAGGTTACAAATTTTAATATTTAAAATTGTCATAGCTTGAAATCTATAAATCAGACTGGCTCATAGAATGTACCGTTGAATTCCTCTCTTCAAGACATATCCATAAAAATAAGTTTTTAACAAAAAGTCATATTTTTGAAAATCCATTTATTTTTTGGTCAAACGTATTAATATTACTTATTGGACCAAAAACTACTTTTGTTTTATAATAAATTTTAGGGCATATTTTGTTGCGTTACAACTCTGCTCTCCACACTCTCAGGGACAATTAGAAGAAGAATTGGGTGTTTTTGGTGAAGAAATGGAGGAGTAGGATGCTTCTTATATAGGAAAGGAGAGAGGAAGGAACCAAGGGAGTTACATTCCTGATTGCTTCTGCGATTTTGGAATCGGCGGTGATTGCACAGGGCGCCGTTTGGTGTGTAGTCCCTGATTGGGACTAATATTTGGTCCCAGTTGGGGTACACTTTTTGGTCCAACTTTCTCTAAATTGAAATCCGATTAAACCGTTGGAATCAGACAGTCAAACTCTACATAATGATATAATTTTCGTTATTTATTGACAAACTTTATAATTCACATTTTTTTGGGTCCTTCTCAGTAATTAATTAATTATCAATTAATTAATTCTGATAGGCCTAATTTCGGGGCGTTACATGGGGAATAGCCCCCGTTAACTTCTACGATGTCACCATCATCGGTATTCAATCGCACGGTGCGCAAACCACTATCAATTATTGCTTGGCGCTCGATCAGCCAATCCATACCAAGGATAATATCAAACTCCTTGTATGGTAGCTCGGTTAGATTCGCGGACAGTTGATGTCCTTGAGCCATCAACGGACAATTACGGTATAAGTGGTGAAGTCGCATGCTATGCCCTAACGGATTAGATACTACCATAGGATATTCTAGATCGCCGCTCTGGATATCAGATTTCTCAGGCATAGGAACACATATGTAAGACAACATAGATCCTGGGTCAATTAGTGCAAGCATAGGAGTATCGAATAACGAAAACCTACCCAGGATGACAACACGATTCTCTTCAGTTTTCTCCTGCATGGCGTATGTGCGTGCGAGCGTACGTCCCTGCTAACGGTTCTTATTCTGACTCTGGTTCTGTCCTCTCAGCGGGTTCGATCCCGCTTTAGATTTCTGACTCTGTGCTGTCCTCTGCCCAGCCTTCCAGGTTTGCACCTCTGCTATGGGAAAGGCACGTCCTGGATTAGTAGGACAGTCCTTGCGGAAGTGTCCCTTCTTCCGGCATCATAAGCATAAGCCCTGCGTGAACCATCAGTCACCAGGGTGATTCCTTCAACAGATATTGCATACTGGATGCCTAGAAGGCTTGCTTCAATTGCTTGCCGCCTGCGCCTGAGCCGATGCGGACTTGGTCTTCTTGAAGCTCTCGGTACCCTTAGTACCCCCAAAGGATCGCTTACCACTTGGTGCTGCAATGGTCGCGGGTCGCTGACTAGTTCCTGTCCCTCCAGCATCGATGTTTGCCTTCAGGTCATCCACGTCCTTCTCCGCTTTAGCCATCAAATCATACGCCTCGGGGAATTCGGTGGTGGTCATGATAGATGTAACGCCCTGAAAATAGGCCTATCAGAATTAATTAATTGATAATTAATTAATTACTGAGAAGGACCCAAAAAGAAGTAAATTCTAAAGTTTGTCAATAAATAATGAAAATTATATCATTATGTAGAGTTTGACTGTCTGACCCCAACGGTTCAATCGGATTTCAATTTGGAGAAAGTTGGAACAAAAAGTGTACCCCAACTGGGACCAAAATTAGTCCCAATCAGGGACTACACACAAAACGGCGCCCTGTTCAATTACGCCGATTCCAAATTCGTCGCTCAATCACGGAAGCTACAAACCTGTGTCTTCTTCTTCTTCCCTGGGCTATTTAAGGACAACCCAACTCCCTCATATCATCACCAAAACAACTCATTCTTCCTTCTATATTATTCCTTGCTGAGAGTAGAGTGCAGTGGTGCTGTCATCTTTGTGTGAGGTCGCCGGAGCAGTGAGATAGAGTCGCCGGAAGTTTTGCCGGAAAATCTTCAAAACCTCCCTTACGCTTCAAGATAAGCCCGTAGATATATCTAGTGACTAGAATGTTCGTATAGATCGTTTCTACGTTCATAAACGGTCGTTTGGTTGAGTTTTGTGTTTGACATGTTTGATGAACCAAGAATCATAAACCTTGAATTTGTTTTTAAAAATATATTTTAATAATTCTAATATGATCTATGAACCTTGGAGAACATCTCTATATAGTTTAATTGAAGTTCGGTGACTAAAAATGGTTTTCCCGAAAAATGGACCGAGGCTGAAGACGAATGAACAGTGGCTGAAAATCCACAGAGTGGATCGATCCCCTTCATTGGATCGATCCTCTGGGATTTTTTCTTCTAGTTGGATCGATCCAGAGGGCTGGATCGATCCTCCAAAACTCTGGTCCGAAAATTTGTCTGAAATTGTTATTTTTGAGCTCTAAAATCCTATTTTTGATACCAATTGATTACGATTATTATAAAAATGATTTTTCACAACAAAAATGATGTTTTTAACAAATTAAAACATTATGTGATGCATGACGGTAAGTTCAGGTGTTAACACTCGAGACTAGCCCGCTAATTGTTATTAAATGTTATGTTGAATGATCATTATGATTAACTATTATTGTGGCCAATTATGAAAGATTAACCTACTGATTAGTATGATTATTAATTAAATCATGATTAAAAATAGATATAATAATGATTATGAAAATGATGTATATTGTTAAGGATATCTAGAAGAACTCTAAGATATACCGACTTGTATAATGATGAAGATTATTAAGGATATCTAGAAGAACTCTAAGATATACCTCCTTGACCAATTCATATTTCGGGGTTAAAACGTACGTACGGGATCCAGAACGGATATCACCCACCCGACAGTTCACTATTCGGTTGGTACGTAATCCACATGACTCATAGGGTGGATTATCGATTCTTGTGTTCTGCATTAAACTATTTATAGTTTAAGGGCCTGGTTAGAAATGTTGCCTTAGACTAGGAATAGTTAAGAGTTGTTATGAAATGATTTGGCCTTAGATTAAGAATAATTTGAGAGCATTGTTGAGATACTGAATATCAAATGACTTGGAATAAAATATTGAGAATATCATGAATGTTTGAAATATATATTGTTTGCATGATATCAAATGGTTGATTATGAATCGAGATTCAATTTATGTGGATGTTCGACGCTTTAGATATGCTTACTCAGCTTCACCGCTGAGCGTGTAGTGTGTTTTATTTGCTACACGCAGGTAGGCAGAATGAATGATTGGCTGATTCCTGGCAGCAGAAGGGGCGAGACAGTCGTGGTAGATTATTGAATGAAATAAATAATTATGTTGTTATGAGACATATTTTAAAGTCGCTTCCGCATTTTATTTAAACACTCC